CCATGAGTGCCAACTGCATGGGGACCTTGGGTGCCCTCCATGCGTGAGGGCAATCTGCGCCAGGCCAGAAACATCCGTGGAGTGTTTCTTTCTTTTATTTTTATTTTTTACTTCATTAAAAAATATGCAAGCTGAAAAAAAGCAAGTTTGGTGCCTTTGGGGATTTTTTTTTTTTTTTCCTGAAGCTTTTATGTTTTATTTTGGGTCTAGCTATCTGCTTGCTCCTGTTTTCCTTTGGGCAGGTGCCTGGACTTGGTCACACTGGCTCTGACTGGTTTACCCCCGCCTCCACCCCAGCTCTCCAGTTCAGTACTGCTGGGAGGACGCTGCAGCATTTGCCCTGGCTGGTGGAGAGGAGATTTGGCTGGTGTTCTTGTCACTGCTCTTTCCCCTTTGGTTCTCCTGTCAGCTTCCCGTGGCAGCCTGCGGTAACAGCCGCTGTCCTCTCTTAGCAGCCCTCGTGCTCTGGGCGGCACACGCTTACCTTTCAGCCTCCCTCTCCCCGCCGTCTCCGCTCCTCACCGAGGCCCCTTTGAGGATAAATAACACACCCTGACATCAGGAGGGAAAAGCAGAGGTGATCAGAGGAGCTGCTTTGTCCCTGGAGCCTGGCATGGCACAGGGGCATAGTCTAAGGACCATGCATGGTGTGGGGCCAGTGGTACCTCTGGCTGCCTTCCCACCGCCGCTGCCATGGCGGGCACCCCCAGCATCCCACAGGTTTTGCCATCGAGGTGATGCTGCACTACATAGATGCCAGTCAAAAATCAGCCTCTGGGTAAAAATCAGTTTTGTAAAGAGGCATCACTCACCCATCCCCCTCAAGCTGTCTGGGAATTGTGCCCCGGGTTCAGCCAGTACCATGCTGCCTCCTTACCCAGCATCACCACTGACTGCATTTTTCCACTTTTATTTGGCCCCCTGACCCCAGAAATCTCCTTCACAGTGAGCCTTGTGCCAGAACCATCCCACGTGCCTTTCTGCAGCACAGGGGTGGCTGGTGCAGCCCACAACCCTGGTGGGAGGCCAGGGATGCCCCCTTTGCCTGCCCTCACCCCCGGGGGGGAGCACAGATGTACAGGCTCCAGGCCA